TCTCTCTCTCTCTCTCTCTCTGTCTCATTGTGTCATGTGGATTACTGTTAATTTGTTTTGCTGATCTGTTCTGTACGACATCTATTGCACGTCTGTCCGTCCTGGAAGAGGGATCCCTCCTCAGTTGCTCTTCCTGAGGTTTCTACCATTTTTTCCCCCATTAAAGGGTTTTTTGGGGAGTTTTTCCTTATCTGCTGTGAGGGTCTTAAGGACAGAGGGATGTCGTATGCTGTAAAGCCCTGTGAGGCAAATTGTGATTTGTGATATTGGGCTTTATAAATAAAACTGATTGATTGATTGATTGATTGATTGATGATTGGAAGATGTCGAATTGGTTACTTAACAACTAGGGGTGTAAATTGATTAAAATATTTAATCGTATGATTGTCCATAGTTAACTCACGCTTAATCACGCATTTTTTATCTGTTCAAAATGTACTTTGAAGGGATATTTTAGTTTTTATTTAGTTTTCAATACTCTTATCAACATGGGAGTGGACAAATATGCTTCATCTGTGCAAATGTATGTTTATTATTATTGCAACAATTCAAAACAATGACAAATACTGTTCAGAATATTCTCTAGAATAACCTCAAAGGTACTGCATGCTCAAAATATAAGCACACCATGGTCAACTCAAGCCCAACAAGCAACAACAGATGGACATATTGACCTGAATGTAACACAATGCTAACACAATGTAGTGTCCAACTTTACACTCGTAAAGGTTAACTAAACGTCTCCTGTTTTTTAAGCAGCTCAACAACAGCTTGACAGTAAATGCAAATAACTGGTCTTGTGAGAACCATCAGGCAGTGCTTTGAAGCTGAACTTGCCATTCAAAAGATGCCTTTCTTTATCCATGTCCGCTCACAGAGGTTTGTTCCTGCTACTGCTGCATTGCTTCCTGGTTTCCCAAACTACAGGGTGGGCCGAGGGTCATAATTACAGAAGGCACGTGTTAATTGTGCATCAGAATAATTAGTAGCATTAATAGGAATTTGTGTCGACTCATTAACTTTGACAGCCCTATTAACAACACAGCTAAAGGCCAACAAAATAAAAAAACGTTATCTGTCATTATTCTTTGTCAAACTGACGTTGGCATTAGACGTCGTCCTGTCATTAAACCTTGGTCAGCTGATGTCACAACCTACATTATACCAAATATCAACATCTAATGTTGGTGGCCAGTTGGGGAGAGGAGAGGAGAATTGTAAATAACATTCATTCATTCATTTTCCGTAACTGCTTATCCTGTTGGGGGTCACAGGCGGGCTGGAGTCTATCCCAGCTGACATTGGGCGAGAGGTGGGGTACACCCTGGACAGGTCACCAGATTATCACATCACATGGAGACAGACAACCATTCACACTCACATTCACACCTACGGACAATTTAGAGTCACCAAGTAACCTGCATGTCTTTGGACTGCGGGAGGAAGCTGGAGTACCTGGAGGAAACCCACGCTGACACGGGGAGAACATGTAAACTCTGGGTTCGAGCCAGGAACTCTCTTGCTATGAGGCGACAATGTTAACAACTGCATCACTATTTTAAAAATGGCTTAATGGCCGAGAACAGCCGTGCTTGCGATTATTTCTATCACCGTATAAGTGGTATGAGATAAGATTGCCACCATGCTGGTGGTAGATAGCTGGAGCCAGAATGCTAGCCTGCAATACACTCACACCTGAGTAGCGTCAGCTGCTAGCGTGAGTTGTGAGCTGTAATTCGGTGGTAAAAACACAGCCGTGTGTGTCTGACTGTGGACGGTGGAGCTTGTTAGCAGAGTGAGCAGCAGGACAAAGTCCAGTTTTAATCCCCACCCCTGAGAGAGGACATGAGTTTAAAACTCCAGATGAATATTTCAGATTTAGAAAGAATTCCAGCTGAAATAAAATTACTTTTTAATGCTGCTTAACAGTGAGATCAATAAGTCAGAGCTTACAATGAAGCTGGGCACAGATTATTGTCTCAAATTATTTATACTAGTTTGAGATGATCAACAAGTCTGTGCTCATAAATCAGCCATTAAACCTTTCAAAAACCCTGCTGAAGAAATGCAGGGGTGTGAGTGAGTATATGTTATTTGTAGTTATGGATAAAATTATGCCCAAATTAAATTTTAACGTGATACAACCTGACAACGTGATTCCAATTTCAAGTACCTTAATTAGTGGAATTGAATTAGTTAAAGACAAACAACATTTTGACTATGGGGTGTCTGTGGCTTAGTGGATAGAGCAGGCGCCCCATGCACAAGGCTGTTGCCGCAGGGGGTTCGACTCCAGCCTGTGACCATTTCCTGCATATCACTCCCCCTCTCTCTCCCCCCTCACACTTGTCTGTTGTGTCAATTAAAGACTAAAATGCCCAAAAAAATATCTTTAAACAAAAAACATTTTGACTAAAACTTGACTGAAACTGTACTAAAAACCAAAACTAGACTCAGATTACGAAGGACAAAAATTAATAAAATGTCACTAAAACTAAAGACTAAGACTGCATCAAAAATAGCTAATTAAAACTAACATTGATTTCACTGAAATAACTGTTTCAAGGCCCAAAGAGGTAAAATTATTTGATATTTCATGAAAATTAAAGAATAGAAAAAACTGCCAAAGGTGAACACAAATTCATATAGCAGACCGTCTCCCATTAATCGTGTCCTGACCCCTTGGAGTTACAGCTGAGTTGATGTGTTCAGCTTATGTGCACTGATAAAAAAAGCCTCTTGGTTACATCCGAGCAATTACACTATGGCACTGTTAGAAGACAGAAATAAAAGAGAGAAACAAAAGGTAACAGATCATTAAAAGATCACATCAAAGCAAATATTTTCAAATGCAGTTGTTTCCCACCTGGGGGTCGGGACCCCCTTCTGATCCCAAGATACGTCTGAGACATCCCAAAATGATACAAGAGAAAAGAAAGAAACAGTATTACACATTTTCTCGTTAAATACTGAATTCTTTCAACTCCTCAGGTCACTAAGAATTCCTGATATTAAACAATTAGTCGTTGATTGAACGGGGGACTTGATCTGTGTAAAGGAGGAACAAGCACCAAACACACTGCCTCATTTTAAGGAGTCACAAGCCAAAAATGTTGGAGACAACTGGTCACAACAGGTGTGAAGGAAAATGAGGAGTGGACAGTGAGTGAGTTGCTTTTCTCAATACATTTTCTACTGATAGTGTGCAAGAGTGCAACCCTTTTTAACTGATCATTTAAAAAGGTTTTGTTAATCTCTTGTGTACATTTTCGAGATGTAATAATCAAATATTTGATGTAATAAAATGTACTACAGTATGTAAGTGGAAACAGAGCAACGATTCAGCGTTTAGTCATGAAGGGAAAAATATCAAAGTATATTTTGTTCTACAAAGTTAAAAAATAAGATTTTTTTAATGTTTTAACGTTAATTATTATAATAATTAACACTGATTAATCGCGTTCCGTGGTACTCTTTGACCCGGTGCATCACTGAAGGCCACAGTGACTTTGTCACATGATGGAGGCGAGCCAGGTCTCACTCCAAAGTCATTGAAATCCAGCGCTTGGGCAGTGGCTTACAGCGTCAGAAGCTGGTTGCAGTTATAGTTTAACAGCGCCTGAGGGCGTCAGGGGGAAACACAATGGGACGAGGATGAAAGGTAAGGCAGCAAAAATGGGGTCAGTGGAGGGGTGGTGTCTCGGTCTAACAAACGCAGACTTTCACCCGAGAGAGAGCTGTTTGTGTCCCATAATATTCTAAAGCCAAACCCTGTTCTTTTTTCCTAAACGTAACCACGTGCTTTTGTTGTTGAAGGAAAAGAAATGTCAGTGCGTGGTGTAGTACCGACATAATGCGTTTATTTTGAAAGAGACAGTAAATTTCCCGTGAAAACGTAAGTGTATCTTTCTAAGAAGACAATGCATGTAACAGGCAGAACTTGACACGGTGTCCCAGAACATCAACAACCAACACACCCAGGGTACCTTGCACGTCGTATGTGGACATGGGAAGTCAGTGACCAAACATTGATATGTGACAAGGTCGGAGTGAGAATGTGTTGTGGAGGCAGACAATAAGACGCTGCTTGGCCCCATGAATGGAACATTTACATTTAAAAAACGCCCAGATGGAACTGTAGATAGGGTTACCATTCTCTGTGAGTACGAAATCTTCGTACCATCGGAGTACGTCAAGCCTGAAATATCCCCTTAACACAAAGCATTTAGCAGCGAACCCGGATGTCCGGGCTAGCACAGCCTCTGATGCTAGCGTTAGCAGCCAGCCTCGTCAAGCCACACTCGACCAATTGTTCAGACTGAGTAAGTCTATGCAGACCAGTTTCAGTGGTAGGGGACAGGGGGACAGTTGTGTCCGAAAACCAGCAGCTTTACTATGAAACATCTGTCAGAATGAATACTTTCACAGCAGAAGTTGATGTATATGATTGATTTAGATGAATTAATCACAGAGCATGTAGTTAATTAGATTAATTTCTTTAATCGCTTCACAGTTCTAGTTGTTACTTCACATTTTATTTCTCTGCTTGACCACTTCTTGAAATCCCTGTTTTTAAATATTTTGTTTTTCTTTTATTGTATTGTATTTTTTAAAGCAACTTGTGACTGGTTTTTAAAGGCCCATTGTTTTTTTTTATTATTATAAATGTGAAGATAAATCAATGTGACTTAGGTAATGTGAGAGAAGACATGATTAAGTATCAACAGGAGCTTTATATAGCTTACATGTACTGTTATAACACAACTAGTCATTCGTTTTGGTTTATTTGATCATGACATTAAAATTCCTTAAGCACCATTAAAGTTGCAGTTCCTGACTTGATAAAGTTTGGGTGTATCTCATCAGTAGCAGCTAACCTTTAACAGGTGTTTTAAATGGCAATAAGGCAGAATAACTGCACAGACCTCCAGCATTTTATAACATCAGCGTCAGATCATTATTATAAAGTTCAGCCACAGTGACATGGATTTTTACACTACCTTGGGCTTTGAGTCTGCTGGATGTTCAGTGATAACCTTCAGTCCTTCAAAGGCTCTGGAAATGCGCCGTTACCATAGAAACGCGCATGTAACTCCTTCGTTAAATCCTCTTTGGCCCCGGTTGATTGTGAGAAAAAGACGATGGAGGCAACACTCAAATCCGGCAGCAAAAAGCGCACAGCAATTGTGGTTAAGCTGGATCACAGCAGGTCTAAAAATACACTAAAACCTTCCCCACAGGAGAAAAATCCAAGGAACGAAATCCAGTAAATACTTCTTTGTTTTTTGCTTTTATTGTTCTTGTTAATTTCAAAATTCTGCACGGTTTCAGTTTGTTTCCAGGAAATTCTTGAGTCAAAGTTTCAGAGCTTAAGCTGGTTAACTGCTGAGCGAGTGGGACAGAAAGAGAGAGGCCGACAGAGAGGAGAGGGGTTGACCTACTGAGAGTCACCCTGCCCCCTCTGAGGGTCCAAAATAGAGAGACAGCAGGAGTGCAGGGAGGGGAGAGACAGAGGAGTGGAAGAAACCTGGGTTTATCTTCTCTTTAAGATCAAGAGAAGGAGACAGGAGGAAAGAATAAAGTGAAGACATGAAGGTCTAACAGTCTCCTGTGCTGTGTGTGTCGGAAACACAGAACGTATTAATCATGTTATAATGATGGAGGCAGCCAGCGGCAGCGAACAGCTGATGTTCCATCAGTGTTTCCTCCTCCGAGAGGCTCATTACTCCATTCCTGACCTCACCTTTACTGACCTGTCCAATCCCCATACACCTGTAAAGTGACTGAAGTGGTGCCATCATTAATTTTCTTTCATTTATCATAGTATTATTTGACAGTGTTAAAGGTCCAGTGTGTAGGATTGGGGGGGATATACTGGTGGAAATGGAATATAATTGGTATATTTTCTTAATAAGAATAAGAATTGTTGTGTTTTTGTTACATTAGAATGAGTCTTTTTATATCAATATAGGGAGTGGGTCCTCATCTACAGAGATTGCCATGTTGAACTGCCATGTTTCTACAGTAGACCAGAAGGGACAAACTAAATTCCATTTCTATTTTTTCGGCTCTATTAGATAGGACAGTTTAAGTATAAACGAGGGGGGGGTAAGGGGTACATGCTGTAATTGAACCCACAGCCACAGCAGCAAGGACAGTGCCTTTGTACATAGCACACCCACTCTACCCACTCAGCTAGTGGGCGCCCCAGACAGAACAAATTCAGGCTTTAGAATCTTACGGGACACAAACACTGCTCTCTCGGGTGAAAGTCTGTGTTTGTTGGACCCATCCACCACTGCTCCCACCCGCCCCACTTGGACTTTTGACGCCTTAACTTTCGTTCTTGTCCTGCCGCGTTTCCCTCTGACGCCGCTGGGCGCATTTAAACTATTATGGCAACCAGCCATGTATCATGCCGACGTTAAAGGACAGCTTTATTCAACAGTCAAAGTCACTGCCCAAGCGTTGGATTTCGACGACTTCAGAGTGAGACCAGGATGGCCAAACAGCATCAAAGAATCACTTGGATGCGAAACTGCTTTATTCAGCGTTTTTACCAATTTTAATCACCTGGTATATTTATTTTAAAGAGGAGAACACCTCCCTATAAAAACCTCCTGAATGTCTGGATCAGAAATAACCTGAGCACACATTTGCAGGTGCTGGGCTAGTGGCCTAGTGGACAAGCCAAAGAGCGTAGCAGAAACACTGATTTGTAACGTGGAACTGCTTTGTGAAATGTTTTTACCCGTTAAAATCTACTGGTCTGTTTGTTTTGGAGAGGAAGAGACCTCTGTGGATGCTCCTGGTAAAAACCTCCTGAGTAAATACTGAAGGAATTCTAACCAGGAGAAGTTTCAGCTGGTTGCAATCTGCAGTTCTCACCACCAGATGTCACTATATCCCCCTAAATCTCACACACTGTCCCTTAGAATAACTGGTAGGTCCCCAAATAACAACAGCACCAGCACTTTTTGCACAGCAGGAGATCAAATATATTAATTTGTGCCCACAGCTACAACTACAACAAAAATAAAGTCCTCACAACTTCAAACTTCCAAACCTCCCCTCCATTCTTGCGCCTCCTCCAGGGGAAACTTATTTCCTCCTAAGTGCCCTGCCTTGTCAAGCAGAGGTCAAAGTGAGGAGTAAATAAGTGAATAAATATCTAGTTGAGCCCCATGTGACTTCTTAAGCCCTGTCAGAACCTGTTTTTGAGGCCCAGTTTAAACGAGGGTGTGTGTGTGTGTGTGTGTGTGTGTGTGTGTGTGCAGTGGGAAGGAGTAACCTGACCCCCAGTCTTGCCCTGGGAGCCTGCACTGCAGAGGCTATAATTAGAGATACAGACAGCAGCTGGTGTTAACATTGGACTGGACTGCTTTATATGTAGGGCACACAGAGGGGGCTGAGGGCTGGAGGACACAACACACGCACACACACACACACACACACACACACACACACACACACACACACACACACACACACACACACACAAGCAAACACACAAAAACCACATACACACAAAATTCAGGTCCTATCTTGTGTAAGCCTGTACACAGTAAAAAGTTAGGGACTGTGAAAATTATCAGAGTGGAGCTTAACTTTACGATTCACTTCCCAAACATTATTAAAATGCAGTCATTTCAGATTTCCTTCATTTTCAGGCTGGTTTTGTGGATTTGGAGCTAAATGTTGTGCCTGGGGCACGTCGTGTATTAATGATACTCGTTACCTGGAGAGGTTGGAAAAAGATATACGTTTCTTCCCTGTTCCAAAACCAAAATCAGACCCTGAAAAGTGTAGGGTTAGCTAGCTAGCTACTGAAGATATAGCCTACTGAATGTATACACATGCTGCTTTTGCTTTTTCATGATTATAACAGTGAAACAAAGACCGACCCTGCTGTACAGGAACCAGTGAAGGGAAGCAGGGAAACTTTGCTGATATTCAACCAGCTGTGTGTCATCACAGTGTGCACAGATGAACATGTTTGACTTCCCCTGGAGATCCCTGCCCATCCATTGGTGGAGGTCCAGGTGTTGGCAGTGGCACAGGTGTGAAGCCATACACAGTTCATCAGCACACACTGCGATGCCACACAGCTGGTTCAGTATCAGCAAAGTTTCCCTTTATATTCATTGTCTTGTGTGGCGATCAGCAGTGATGTGGTGGTTCACTTTTACACTGTGATCCGTAGCCTATAGTTCGGCTTTAGCTTCTAACTATCTTTGTCTTTTTAACCTGTTGTTGCTGCTGAGTCAGTTTGACATCCTGGATATATCCTTCAAACACACACTGTAGACCCCTCTGTCTGCTTCTCTCTGGAATCACTGTACAAGAACAGAGAAACTAAAAAAAGTTTGGTTTAGAAACAACACATTTCAGCCATGTGACAAACTAACAAAGAACCAAAGCTCCCTGTTGCTTTAATGTTCACTCAGGCTCAGTCAAGGTGTTGATTACAAGGCTCAGCCACCTAATAAATGTTTACTGTTGGCCTCATTTGGATTTTTAGTTATTTATCTTACATTTCCTTTTTTTGTCAGATAGCTGCCACACACACACACACACACACACACACACACACACACGCACACACACACCAACACCCGAGAGAGATGCTCTGATGAAACCAACCATCCAAAGTAATTCTGATGAAACTAACAGCAATCAACAAGAACAACGCTCGTATCTGTGCTACAGTACTCTGTGTGTGTGTGTGTGTGTGTGTGTGTGTGTGTGTGTGTGCGTGTTGGTTCGACAGAGAGAAACATCCTGAATTATTCTTCCCTCCATGTGTAACTGGAGATATTAAAGAGTTAACAACAGAAACGTCCTGGTAGCTGTGAGATTTTGAAAGGTTTTATGATACTTTCCTTCTGAGCATTACTCTCGGAGTTGAAATATATTTTTGTCTCTCTGACGTTCTCAGCTCTTCACAGCTCCTTTGGGCCCCGTCGAAGGTTCAGAACCTCGGACAGCGGCAGAGATATCCGGTCCTGCTGATACCTGTTCATGCATTGGCAGCTGTTCTCATCATTTTGAAATACTAAGTCGTTTTTTTGAGAAAGTTTTTCATATATTTAGAGATTCTGAGTCACAATTTTAAGAAAGTTTCTCACTATTCTGAGATACTGAGTCAATATTTTCATACTTAGTCATTATTTTGTGAACGCTTCTCATTATTTTGAGATACCAAGGTATAATTTCAAGAAAATTTCTCATTATTTTAAGAGATTTCTCACTATTCTGAGATACCGAGTTATTATTTTCACATGGATTCTCAAGTTCTTGAGATACTAAATAATTTTTTCAAGGGCTTTTTTCATTATTTTAAATCACTAAGTATTTTTTTAAAGAAAGCTTCTTATTATTTTGAGATACCAATATATATATAATTTTAAGAAAGTTTCTCATCATTTTAAGAAGGTTTCTCATTATTTTAAAACACTAAGTATTTTTTTTCAGTGAAGTTTCTCATTATTTTGAGAAAGTTTTTAATTAATCTAAGATACTGAGTCATTATTTTAACAAAGTTTCTCGTAATTTTAAAACACTATGTAATTTTTTTAAAGGAAGCTTCTCATTATTTTTAGATAATTTTAAGAAAACTTATCATTATTTTAATAAAGTTACTCATTATTTTGAGACAATAAGTCTCATTAATTTGAGCAAGTTTCACATTGTTTTGAGATACTTAGTCATTATTTTCATGCTAAGACATTATTTTGCGGAAGCTTCTCATTATTTTTGAAGTACTGAGTGATTTTTCAAGAAAGTTTCTCATTAATTTGAGATACTAAGTCAAAAGTTTCTGTCATGATCCTGTGTTTTTGTTTATATTATGTTATCCTATGGACTTTGTTTTCTGATTGTGTTCCTTGTTTCATGTTCATTATTCGTGTTTAATGTGTTTCCTGTTTTATTTTGTAGATTATCTCCTCATGTGTCATGTCTGGTTTTACTTCCTGTCTTTGTGTGTTTTCCTGCCTGTTTTCTGTCACACCTATCTCGTTAGTCCTTCCCTGTTCCCTTCACACCTGTTCTGTATTAGTCTTGTTTGCCCCACCCTAGTGTTCCCCTCCACACCTTTGTTGTTAGCCAATCCCCATTTCCCTCCTTTTGCCCGTGTCCTCCTACTCCAGCTGTGTTGCGTTCTTTCAATTAGTTTTCTGTGTATATATACCTGTGTGTTTCCCTTTGTTCCTGGTCAGTTCATCTGTGTTCATCCCTGTGTTCTTGGTGTCGTTCCCTGCTCCGTTTTACACCGTATTATCCCAGTTGGTTTTTGGTTAGTTTTGGGGGTTTTTGTCATTTGGACTTTCTGTAACCTGCCTGTTCTGGATGTTTTTTATCAGCTTTATTAAAGTTTGCTTTTTGTTAAACCTCAAACCTGCCTGCTGCTCTGCATTTGGGTCCTTCCTGAACT